ATTACCAGCTTCACTTACTAACCAGACTTTATTTCTGTCATATGTCTACAGAAGTTCTTACTGAGAATATAGGTTTAGATGTTTCGATAAATGTTTCGTTTGTAGTCACCATTATGGTGATTGGTGTTTGCTTTAGTTGGGCTCTCAACTCTTTAATATTACTTTTTCTCTGGCTGCTGTAACAGTTAATACATTAAATAATATTAATATATGATACCGTATTGTAAAGTGTTACCAACATTTTTAATTCCTGTGTCTATTAGACTCACTTAGACATCAATGCCGTTTTCACAGACAGGGCTTAAGGCTAGTCCAGACTAAAATACATGTTTGAACTGTTTTAACTAAAAAAAAAAACTTGCACCGACATTTCTTAATATGTCATTGCCATATTTTTATTTTAAGATACAAACAAGGAACATTTATAAAAGCAACTTGAATGTCACAATTGAACTAAAGCCATAACTAAGCCCTGTCTGTGAAACCAATCAGCATATGGATATCAACAATGGTGACATGCTTAATGGTGAAGTGCATTCTGGGAGCCATGGATGAGGCAATGACCACTAATGTATCCTTGCTGAATAAAAAATCTTAAAATAGATCTGACCCCAAACTTTTGAATGACAGCATACCTACAAATACAATTATTGTAGTAAACTTTAGTCCAAAGTGGGAATGTTTTAAACTAGATATTAGTTAGCTAAATAACAGTGACATATAGGCTACAGCATTGATTTTCTGCACTGTAATCATTCTTCGGCCATTCCAATCTTTTATATGTATGGCAATGTATACTAAACAGATCGCAGCCACAGCAAGCACTATCAGCCTATTAGATAGCAAAAGCTCTTGAAGTGCGTCTGTTGCACTGCGGTACACACGATAGGACGTTCATTACAATATGACCCGTGGCTATTATAAGACTTATCTCCAAAGCCATTTATCACAAACTTGCACTGATTGTGAGGATCTGGCACCCTCATCATGTGAGGACAAATTGCACTGGAAGGGCCTGATCTGTGAAAAATATCACACTGCGAGATTACAATGCATCCGGTTCTCTCCAGTGAATACAATTACGCTTGATGAATGCCTCCACAAAAAAACAAATAACGGTGCTACAGTAGCATCATTTGTAGGGTTGTTTATTCTCACAGTCCCACAGGGTGGCGCACTTTTGATGATTAGGTTCTATAATGCCGGTAATGGAGCGCAGATGGCATCTCAACAGTGTACTGTACAACAGTTTAGATACACAAAAATGCAATTCAATATTACATTTAAAATGTGGATTAAAAATAATGGACGTAATATTTAGGATTTAACAAACATTTTCTCTTATCCCTTTGCAAAAAACAAAACAATCTGGTCAGCAATTAAAGTGTCTGTGCGCATATGGCTTTAAAAAATATAGCCCATTAATTAAAACATTACACATTTCTGTCTGTACATAATCTCTTTCCATATTGCATTGCATTATGTAGATTTATGGACTCACACTTAACAAAAAACAACAACACATATATATTTGTATAGTAGACCGTAATGTCCGTTTAAGGAGTTTTCACAATATTTGAACTGTAAGAAAATGTTAAAATGCTAATAACGTGACAGGACACAGACCTGAGTGTGAGAAGGTCATACTAGTAATGCATATAACATACCATCAGATAATGTCCAGTTTCATTTAGTGAAGTTACTGTAAAACAAGCACTTGACAACTGTAGAGTCACATTCAGAAGTTTAAAGACTCTTGTGCATTTCCATTTAGAGTTCTAGGCAAGATTTGCATAGACTGGCTGTTGATATTGTTCATAAAGGTCTAAAAATAGCCTAGAGCTTTGAATTTATTTGAAGACTTCATGGAAACCTGACTGTACCGGGAATCTTCAACTGTATCAATGTACTCCAACCTGTACCATTAGTGTGTAGCCTATAGTCTTACAGCAATATTTCGAAGGGTAGCTGCTTATCCGAGTCCACGATCAAACTCAGTCGATCGGGCTTTACAGTGTGATTACAGAGCTTCAGTGTCTGTCGGGTCATCCTGGTTGTGGGTGACATAGTAGTCATGAACATACATCAGAACTGCGATAGGTTGACCGATAATGAGTGAGAGCCACACAGCAGCATTTCCATAGTTACCCCGAAGAAACCTGGCCACAAACCATGCCAGTGGGAGCTGAAATAAAGATTTCTTTTAATTTAAACGAAAAAATATATGATATACCTACTTAGATGATTATCACAAACGTAAAATATATAGTTTTCTTATGCACGAATGTATGAACATAAATGCGAACATAATTTTTGTATGTAAAGATTAAATATTTATACCTGTGCCATCATGCCCATAAATGCCCATAGTCTGAACATCCTGAGTGGGACACTGACCAGGTACTGCAGACAGAGAGATATAAATATACACATTAAACACTTTAAACTTCCGAGTGATGGATAGGTAAAGGTGTTTCTAAAAGGATTTAGTTTTGCTCATTTTTCATTTATGTTTATTCATTTTAAATCTTGAGTTTGGAGAACAAGCAATTTATCAAAGCCAACTAAAGGAGTCCAAAAAAGGGGCTTGGCCTGGTTAAGTTGCATTAGTTATGTGTTGAAACTCGCGGTTAAAGTAAGGTTAATGACATTTCCGAAACTCGTTCAAAGCAGTTGACCAATCACAACACACAGGTCCAGCCAACCAATTAGAGCACATTGTGCTTTTTGGAAATGTGGACTTCATAGAGACCGTAACTGAGAGTGTTACTGACAGATTTGGAAAAAGAAGTGCTGCAACAATGTAAAATATGGGAAAAATACAGTTTTTTGGACATTCTAGCCTGAAACCTATTCTAGTAGACCCCCAAAACAAAATCAAGTCTTTGTAAAAGCACTTAATGTGTCCTCTTTAAATCCTAAAGAGTGATGAATGAAACTCAGGTCAGGTTATATGAAAACGTTAACTCCCCATA